CTTAAACAATACCTGACCGGATTACATCATTGTAATGAGGAGAATCTTAAAATTTAATCCGCCAATATTGCCTACACTACCCGCATGTCTAAAAAATTATTTTAAATAATACAGTAAAAGTTCTTTATTCACGGTTTTCTTATTCGCGTTTTCATTATTAGCGGGTAAAAAAAAAATACAACCCAGTTCCCGTATTCGCAGCTAAAATTTCAATATTCGCGGATGCAATCGGTAAAAATTGACCGCAATAGACCGCTCGAGCCTAGTGTGAATTTTTCCGAAAACATGAATTTCTATTCTAAACATTTTGATTTAACGCTGCGAGATAAATAAGTGATTTTTTGTATACTAACAGACAAAGGTTCACACTAGCTCGGTACGTTTTCGGTTTTCATTAATATTGTCATTAAAAGCTTTTACAAGTGCTTAAAGTTGATGCTTCTTGTAGGACATGTATTTTCAATAGAAATTAAAAAAAATTAAAAATGACCTTCGACAGGCGTTAGAACAAAGCTTTATCTATCTTACTACAAAATTTCAGACCTCTGTTCCAAACATTAAACTCATGATATCTAGAACCGATAAGCATGTTTTTAGTCTATGGCGCATGTACTACTGAATCCCCTTAGTGTATCGGCATCTTTTGAGAGTATGTACTGTTGGTACGTGCCTAGGCAGCTTTTATAAAAGATGTAACCGAGTAGACTAATTGAAAATTCAAAACAAGAAAAAATCATTAAATTTTTTAAACCCTTGTCTAAAGCTGATTATAACGATTAATTTTAATTGCGAATTTCTCAATAAATTGATTTTATTCTGATACATATTGGTTTTATTTTGGAACCTTAGAACGTATCCCCTATGATTCCATAGTAATTATCATTCCATATCCACGGTTTCTGTATTCGCGGCATATTAATGGAGCGTACACCCCGCGAATAAAAAGCTTTTACTGTACAAAAAAATATGAAAAGGGTTTGAGCAAAGTATTTTTCTTAAGCAACAGTGTATCAATGACAAATAGTGTCTTAAGTACATTGAATCGATGACATACCTGTCCATTTAAACAAGGGTATTGATCTTCATATGTAGAGAGCTCGTCTACGCACTTGTCTAATCCTAAGTCACTGTACACGGAACTATCCGAACTGTTTCTTTGCATCGATCCTGAACAGGTAACTTTGTCGGTAATTGTTGCAATGTCAGAAAACGATCCGAAATCAGTGTAGTCATGGTTTTGATACAGTTTCTTTGTAACGTGTTCTTTTATCGAACACTCTCCTTCGTCTATCTCGTCACAGTCTTCGTCGTCCGTGGTATAAGATTCGTCACCTGTAGTACCGGTCGACCCGGCCCTTTTGTGTTTATTAGTCAGGTACGACAATCCAGCTGTCTTTGGGGTCATTAGAAGGCCTTTTCCTATCGAAGGTGGCTTTGCGATCTCACACTCGCTCTCCTGCTGCATACTTATGCAGAAAAGCGATCGTTAAATATTGTTACTACTGATTCCCATTGCTCATTCTGAAATGAAGAATTAAAATAATTAATATGTGCATTAAGTAGATTCAGCAATTGATTTATCTAATAAAAACATACTGGCATAAAGTGATACTTAAAACGCAGGAGGAGATAAAAAGGTCAGCATTTGGTAGAAATGATGTTGAAATACAAGTTGGGTTAAAGTTTATCGTGCATCTAGATGATATTGCCTTCATTTACGTTCTTAATTCTTTGTTTCCGGTTAAAAAAGCAGCACATTAATGGATACTATCAGACAACCAAATGAATACACCAGTATCATGACTACGGTGGAAGGTTTTGATCGATATCATTTGTTTGTTACCTGTCATTTACTTTAGTATGAAAACCTTTCCTTCACTGAATACACAGACATTTGCTGACAACGGCTCAATTCCTGATTTTAATAATTGAAAATGACATCGAATAAAATATTAATTCGAGATTGTTTACTGTACAGTATTCAGAGATTAAAAATGTTGGAATAGTACAGTAGTAATTCAAGAAATATTCTTCTGGAGATCTCAGTTGGATCAATAACGAGGATAATAATAATAACGAGGATATTCAACAAGTTGTGGAGGCAAATTTCAGGACGACGTGAAGCTTGCAGAAAGACTCAATGTGAGTGATGAAACCGGGGTTGTCCATAATGAGTTTTTAAGAACGGATGAAACTATCATGCTGACAAGTACTGTGAACAGCAGCTTTCTTTGATTAATCGAAAGAAAGTGATATTCCTGCAGGACTACATCAGGCCACATACCACAATTGTAGTCCGGAAAAAAAAATTTGAATTTATTATCACCTTTTTTTGCCTTTAACAACTGTATGAGGAATAGGCAATTTCTTCAAAATTCGAGTTGATGTAATATATGCAATCTTTTATTTTTTTGATTCAAAATCCAAGTTCTGCAATAATGGCACGCAAAAATATTGGTGTCACGTTGGCAAAATGTTGAGCGTGACGGTAATTTCTTCTATGAATAATATAGTGTGTAATTGTTTCCTAATAAATATTAATATTTTACCATCAAAAACCGTAATCGAAATAAAGAATTGGACCAAAAAGTTCCAAAAAACCACTGAAACGAAGGCAGAAGACCCAAATCATACTATCACTAAATTAAAAACCGGAAGCCGAGTTTACATAGATTCCTCGCATTGCATATTATACTCAAAATGCTTATTTACTACAACGTGAGAAAAATGATTCGATAAAGTTCCGTTAGCCTTGAAGGCCTAACAGTCCGGTTTTTAAATTGCAACGTACATTCATAAATTGCAATGAGACTTGAATTTATTGTATCTTTATGTGTAATTTACCACTTCCACCGCTTGCTCTTGATCACTGTCTCGCGGAACAATGGAATTCCTGACGCTAAATAAGCATGGCTGTGTGTTGTGTGAACGCTTCGTTTAAGTAGGTATGTACCTACAATATACATTTGCGTATATGAATAGTACCTACAAACATAAATGCACAATATCGTAGTTGGGATAAAGTTCGTGATGTAAAAATTCTAAGCACACAGGTGTGCCAACTGGTAAAAAGAAAGCAATGGTTTTGTTATCGTTGTTTTGTTGCCTTACTAGCGTATTGTAGGCGTCTGAGTAAATGAGTGATTTTGTAACAAGTCTTTAAACTATTATCTTTGTTTTGGTAATAGGTTTTTTGCAAGAAACAAAGAAAACACAAGAACTGCTACAATTTTATTTACCGATTTTAAATTCGACCTGTGTAAGTAATTTTAATTAGCGGTCGCCTATAAAATACGTAAATAAGGGGTCAGAGGGGTATTGCTTAGCGCGAAGAAGAGATATGACAAGGGGAAGGGAAGTCTAAGGAAATGTGGCGTTCGCAGTTCATCAATTTTTATTTTAACGTTTTTCTTAACATACTAGTTCTTATATATATTTCAATACGATAAGTTATTTATTCTCATTGCTATTATTAATCACAAGAAATCGATTATAGGAGGTGAGGATGAACTAGCGTTTTATAACGTAATATTTGTTAGGGTGGTCGCTAAAAGTGTAATTAAAGGAGACGGAGGTAAAGTTCTAAGTGATGTATTTTATGGACGACCTCTGTCGGTGGTTGACTTTTCGTGAATAATAAGTCATTTTTCTGAAACAGACAATACTGTCCCTCATCATCATCATCATAAGGTCATCAGTCCTAAGATTGGTTGGACACGTACCTCCACTCTTTCGTATCCTGAGCTAAACTTCGCATTTCCCTAAAACTAGAACAACCCACATCCTTAACTATTTGCGAACAGTAATCTAATCTAGGTCTACCTCTATCCCTCCTATCTCCTGTTTCTACCTCTAATATGTCTCTGACTAGACCTTCATGCCTCAGAAGGTGTCCTACCAACCTATCCCGTCTATTTTTTATTGACTTCCATAGAGTCCTCTGTTCTCCTATCCTTTCCAATACCTCTTCATTTCTAACCTTTTCTACCCACGATATCCTCATCATCCGCCTATAACACCACATTTCGAACGCTTCTAACCTTTTCTTTTCCGCCGCTCCCACTGTCCATGTTTCGCACCCGTAGAACGTCGTGCTCCAAACATACATCTTTAACAACCTTTTTCGAATTTCTAAATTAACGGTTCGCGAGCATAGAAGTGACTTCTTTTTATTAAAGGCGACACGACCCTGCGCTATCCTCTGCTTTATATCCCTACTACTCCTTCCATCCTCACTTATCTGACTTCCTAGGTATCTAAAATCAGCCACTTCTTCTAATTTTTCGTCTCCTATCTTTATATTCGCTCTTTCCCTACTTTTTCTTCCCTTGCATATCAGTATTTTAGTTTTACTTTTATTTATTTTCATACAGTACTGATCTGTCAGTACCGCTTCCATTTTATTTAAAACTATCTCTAGGTCCTCCTTGCTAGATGCTAATACTGCTATATCATTTGCAAATCTAAGTATACTGTCCCTACAAAGTAGATATTTGAGATTATTGTAGAAATTAATAGATGGGGTGCACCTGAGTACTGTTTCAATGGGAGCCTTTTCGATTTCCTGGTGTTTTTCCGCCAGGGAGTGTCAAAATTGACCAATATTGAAAACTTATTATTCCTCAATTTTAAACACGAGAAACTCGATTTTGACTGATTCGAGCATGCTAAATTTGAATATTACATTCGTTTTAATATAATTTCAGTACTCTTTAGTACAAAGTTTTTCAGGACCATTAGTCGCTTTATTTCAAGTGCAATTGGAGTCATTGTTTCATATTTTTGTGAAACATGCTAGAATATACATATATGAATCGCTCTCTTATTCATCAAAATCAGTCAAGAATTAGTCATAATAGCTAAATCAATATTAGTTAACTGGTGGAAAAACTCATAGAATCGAAAGACAAATATTGAAGCTATTAATTTCTGCAATAATGCCAGATGGTTCAACTCGAAAAGCCTTGTGTTTTAGAGTTATTCTTATTTACTTCCAAAAAAAAAGCAAATTATAAAGTAATTTTCCCATGGAAATTGTACAAAGATACAGTAAGAAGATGTAAATTAAGGCATTTATCGATTGTAGTTTTTCCTGAACAATAACTGGAATTTCATAGGTTTATAGACGATAATAACTTTTAGAATTACAATAATATAATTGCCTTGCTACAATAGGATCATTTTCATTAGGAAAACTTTGTTGAAATTTATTACATTAGTGGGAAAGTTTAAATAATTAGTTACGAAACCACTAAAAGACAATGGGGAATTAAATTTGTTTTAAGTTTTTTTTCTATTGTTGGATATATAACAGTTTTTTTTGTTGCTTGAGAAGCGAAAGACAACGGAAAACATATATGATGATGGGTAGATTATTATTATTAATCAAGTCACGTAATAAGGATTAAAGGTCTATAACAATGACACACAATTGTAACAATCAGGTCGTAGTAAGCGAAGAGTGTGACGAGAAATTAGGAATTACGTTATTTGTTAGATTACTGTTCTTAAATGACTAAGGAAGTGGGACGTGTTAGTTTTAGGGAAATGCGAAGACTGCGAACTGATGACTATTTTGATGATTTATCTGTTATTAATATATTGATGAATCGTTCTAATCTCAAAAAGTTTTTTCATAAAAAAAACGTATGTAAATGCAAACATTTTAACAGACTAGAGATGGGCCAGGTATCTGGTATGGATTCGGAACCCGGTGTATCCGGCATTCTTTTTAGGATCCGATTGGGGCAATACCGGATGATTCTACTAGAGAAAAAAGAAAAAACAGGTACCAGCAATAAATAATAATTCGATGTATAATAAAAAACCAATCTAGTCAAAATTAGTAGTTAAGATTAAATTGGAATAGATCATTTACTTTAATTTGTATTATTTATTAATTACTATACTAAATTATTTGTTATTCAAATTTACTTCTTGTGTTAAAAATTTTTGTGCTCGCGAACGATTAATTTAGAAACTCGAAGATTGTTAAAAGCGTATGAAAAGGTTTGAAGCGCTCGAAATGTGTTATTACAGGCGAATAACAGGATATCATGGATAGAGAAGTTTAGAAATAAGGAGATATTTAAAAGAATAGGAGAACAGAAGGCACTTTGGAAATCAATAAGAAATAGGCGAAATAGGTTGGTAGGATATCTTCTCAGTCATGAAGGGCTAGTTAAACACATATTAGAAGTAGAAACATGAGTTAAAAAGAGTAGAAGTAGACCTAGACTAGATTACTGTTCAGAAATAGTTAAGGATGTGGGATGTTCTAGTTTTAGGAAAATGCAAAGATTAGCTCAGGATAGAAAAGAGTGAAGGTGCGTGTCTAACCAGTCTTAGGACTGACGACCTCATTATGAGGAAATATAGTCTCGTTTTAACTCGACTCTCTCGTTGAAAATCCGCCAAGTAAGAATTTCATTGGTTTAGTGTTTAAACGACTTTTTGGACAGGATTTAGTGTGGTTTGGGACGTTGTCAAGGGTGATATTTAATGTAATTCTCGCCAGAACG